GTTGTCTCGGTGGAGGGCGCTCCACGACCGTACGCGGAACCCTCCTTGGATTTGGTACAGGCGTGGGATGTTCTCCAGGACGTGGTACGTTCCAAGTGACAACTCGGAAAGGGTCAGTTCTGCTTGGCTGGACGTTTCCCAGTTCTCCTCCGAAGAGGAGAGCTGGAAGGAGCTCTCGGTTGACGTATTGGGAGAACTCGTCAGGGTGGATGAGGAGGGCTCGGGGTCGCCCGTCATTGTGGGCGTACCAGGAGGCTGTGTCCGGGTCGGTTTGGAGGGCGAGCGCCCTGATCTGGAGACTGGCACTAGCCAGTCGTCGAGGTACGTCGCTATGTTCATTCCCGGGTTGTCCTGCCGAGAAGTTAGCGAGTCTTTGGAGGGCCATGGCTGTGGCCATTTGTATTACCGCGGAGATGGTGTTCCGCTGGAGGAGCGCGTCCGCGTGTCGCTCCAGTTCTCCGGCGTGAGGATCTGTACGAGGGGTAGGTCCTCCCATGGAGCTGGGAATCGGTCCACTAGTTGGTACTGGCGGAGGTGCAGTTTCTGATAGAACTGGTATTGGTTCAGCTTCTCCATGGCTTGGGAGTTGAGCTGCCGTTCTTGCTCGAAGTCCCGAGGGACCTGCAACTCCACTATTTGACGTGCCTTCACTAGGAGGTGGAACTCCCACTGGTAATTGGTCAAGGCTCGACTGGTTTCGGTCATCAGGGTTTTCATGCCGTGGTGCATCTCGTGAGGCCCTCTCCGGTGAGGGTCTTCGGGTTCTTTCCCTTTCTTTGAACTTGGCATAGTCTTCGGCGTCGTCGTCGGAGAAGTTGTTGAGATGAGGGGTGAGGAGGACGCCGGTAGGTCCTGGTTGTTGAGGACTTGTTCCTCTATCAATTCGTCCAGCATCTGGTCGGTGAGGACTTGTTCCTTTTTCCACTCGTTCGACATCTGGATTGGCGACCATAAGGACGACATCGGGGGAGGAGTTTCTGGATGGAGACGAAGCATCGTGGTCGTCGTGGAGGAGCATTCGAATGGGGGATGTGTTTGAGAGGGGAAAAGGGTGAGAAGATGTTCTTGTTGGAGTCCTCTTGTCGCTCCTTTTATAATCTTTCGTCTCTCCTCTCAGGCTGTTCCCGGACGAGGTTTGTCAGGGTATTGGTCATGGAATTCTTTCATGGCTTCTTCCGCCGTTCCCTTTAGGAGAGTGTAGGGCTCCCAGGTGTTGTCTGATTCGGGATATCCCATCCATTTGACCAAGTATTTAGTTCCCCGTCCTTGCCGTTTTGAATCCACGATCATTTCCACTTCATAATGCTCTTCATCGTTCAGTACTTCCGGTATTGGTCGCGCGAAGTTTTCTCCGTGTGCCTCGGTTTCCCTGTACTTGGTTAGCGTTGCGGCATGGAACACCGGGTGGATCCTCCAGTGTTGAGGAATTTGAAGTTTGTATGCCAGGGTTCCTATTTTCGCCAGTATTTTGAAGGGTCCATACCTCCTAGGAGCGAGCTTGAACTTCGGATGGGTCGTCCGGATATGGGTTCCTTCTAGCCATACTTGGTCTCCTTCTTTCCACTGAGGGAGTTTCCTGTGGAGATCCCGGTCTTTGGCGTAATTGCTGGCTATTTGTAGGCTGGCTGCGGCTTCTTCCTGGACTTCTGTGATCGTCCTAATGCGTTCAGCTACCGCAGGTACCTTTGTCTCCAGCGCCGTGTCAGCTGAATAGGGGGGATTGAAACCGTATAGCACTTCGAAAGGGGATTTCCCGGTGGCCGAGTGTTTCCGTGTGTTGTGTGAGAATTCGGCGAACGGCAAAAGGTCTACCCAATTGTCCTGATGGTAGTTGCAGAACGTTCTCAGGAATTGCTCGATCTCCTGGTTTACCCGTTCCGTCTCTCCATCTGTTTGGGGATGATACGCCGTGCTGAGAGCGGCGGTGATTCCTAGCCGTTTCCAGAGTTCTCGGGTGAATTTGGCCGCGAATTGAGGGCCCCGATCGGACACTATTTTGGTCGGCAGTCCATGTCGATTGAAAACGTTATTTTGGAAAAGCACGGTTGTTTCTTCTGCCGTGATCGTTTTCTTGCATGGGGTGATGACTATGCCTTTTGACAGACCTTGATCCACTACCACGTTAATTGAGTCGAAACCTTTGCTTTCGGGTAGGTCCGTGACGAAATCTGTCGAGATGAATTGCCAAGGAACGTTGGTGGTTTCCAGAGGGTGGATAGGTGGGTGTGTCTTGTGTGTCAAGTTCTTCGTAGACTGGCATATGGCACATCCATCCACATATTCGTGGACGAATTTTGTCATGTTTTGCCACCAGTAGTGTCGTTGCACCATTTCCAATGTTTTTGCTCTACCCGGGTGTCCTACCGCGGGTGCGTTGTGATGTGTTTTGACGATGAGTCTTCGGATGACGTCGTCTTTGGGGACGCATATGTGGCCGTTGCGTCTGGTGATTCCGTCTTCATATGTCCAATGTCCCAGTAATCCTCTCATCCCTTGTGGTCCTACTCGTAAGAGCTTTGCGAGGGCTACCCTCGTCAAGGCATCATGTTCCGATTTCGAGTGTCGGATGAGGGAAATGAGGTTTGAGGAGGCGATTTCCGTGGACTTTATATGTCGTGTCGGGGGTGGTTCTACCAATGTTTCGTCGGATTTGTTGAAAAGCTTGGCCGGGAGTAAAATTTGAGATTTGTTGTCAGATTCTACCCCCTCACTTAGATCTGGACGCCTGGACAGATCATCGGAGTGATTTGTTGATCCTGCTTTATAGCTGAGTGTGAAGTCGAATCTGCTCAAATAAAGGCTCCAACGGGCGTGTCGTCGTGATAGGTCTCGCGCCGTTTGGAAATGTTCCAGGTTTTTATGATCTGTCCAAATCTCGAAGGGGTGTCGCGCGCCTTCGAGGTAATGATTCCAGTGTTCCAATGCTTTTATTATAGCCAAGAGTTCCCGGTCGTGAACATCGTAATTCCGCTCTGCTGGTGAAAACGATCCAGAGAGGAAAGCGACTGGGTGCCAGTCGCCATCTTTTCCTTCTTGTAGAAGGGTAGCTCCATAGGCGATTAGTGATGCGTCCGTTACTAATCAATATGGGTGCATGGGATCTGGATAGTTCAAGACGGGTTTACTGATAAAAGCTTTCTTTAACCGTTCGAAAGCTTCTTGGCATTTTGCAGTCCAGTTCCATTTCTCGTCCTTTTTGGTAAGGTCGTGTAGGGGGCGCGCGATGAGTGAGAACTTGTCAATAAAGCGCCTGTAAAAATTCCCTAGGCCCAAGAAGGAGCGAATGTCGCGGACTGTGCGTGGGGTTGGCCAATCTTTTATTGCGTCCACCTTTGAGTCCTCCATGGCGACATGGTCTTTTGAAATTGTATATCCCAGATATTGGAGCTTTTCCTTGTAAAACTCACATTTTTTGGGTTTCAAATATAGATCGTTGTCGCGTAGGATTTGGAAAACTTGGTTTAGGATTTTAACATGTTCCGCCATGGTTTTGGAGAAGACGAGGATGTCGTCCATATATACGGTTATCTTCCGGACTGTGATGAGCTCCCTGAAGATCATGTTCATCATAGCTTGGAAGGTGGCTGGTGAGTTGGTTAGGCCGAAAAACATCACCGTAGGTTCGTAAGACCCTAACGGAGTGATGAAGCTCGCCTTCCACTCATCTCCTTCTTTGATACGTATATTGTTGTATCCCCATCGCACATCCAATTTGCTAAAAATGATGGCCCCTTTTATCACGTCCAGTAGTTCTTGGATTAGTGGAAGGGGGCACACATTCGGGATGGTGTGTGAATTCAAGTGGCGATAGTCCTGTACCGGGCGTAGTTTTCCATCTTTTTTTCCTATAAAGAAAAATGGGGCTGCTGTTTGTGAGGTGGATCGACGGATAGTTCCTCTTTCCAGATGTTCCTTGATGAATTTTCCCAATTCGTCGTGTTTTTCTGGGCTCAGGGCGTAGATTTTGGGCACTTGAGGTTTGAAGGTTGGTTTTAAGTCAATAGCGTGATCCCAGTAAGTGTGTTCTGGGAGTCGCTGCGACTTTCGTTCGCTAAAGATGTCCAAAAATTCGTGATGCGCCTTGGGAACTCTTTCCTTTAGATTGGTGACGATAATTTCGTCTTCCAGGTCTTGGTCGAAGCTGGCAAATCCTGACGGTTCGGGGGCCAGTTTCCGAATAACTGGGTCCCGGGTGGCCTGTTTTCCTGAGGGTTTGTCTGGGAGATCAGGTTCTCCCTCGTTTGGTGAAAGAGATGGCTTGTCTTGAGCCTTTCGTTTCTCTTCTGCGTATTTCCTTATGTCCTTTAGGAGCCATTTCCTTTTGAGGTATGCTCGTAGTCGGACACCAAACGTTCCGCTATGGTCGCGGAGTCCTACATCTTCCGATAGTCTTCGGAGATGTTCTAGGCGCTGTTTTTCGCGCTCATTGATGCGTGGTTTGTGCCGTGGCTCCACGTCTGATAACCGCCTACTGTATGGCGGTTCTTCCCTTGCCCTAGTGAACCCATATGGTTGCTGGCATTTCTGGGGGCACCGATCAAAGTGCACTTTACGTCGCCTCCATTCGATGGAGGGATCGTGGTATTTTAACCAATCTGTTCCCAGGATAAGGTCGTCTTTCCCTAGATTGGAGATAAACATCTGGACGCGCTCAGTATGCGTTCGTCCACTGATGTCCCGAATGGTGAGGTTCACATCCAAGGCGGATCGGATGAGACCTGCTTTGTTAATGGTGTCGTCGACGTTCCGGACGCGAATGGGGTTGTTGAGTGTATAGGTGGGGAAACGATGTCTCTTGACCCAAGTTTCGTTTACTATAACCCCTTCGCAGGCCGAGTCGATGGTTGCCTTTGCTCCAGCGTTTTGACTCCTGTTTGATACTTTCACGTTCAGGCGTATGGGGGTGATGATACGGTCGTTCATTGCTCCGATACGAATACAAGTGCGGGCATCAAACTCGGGTCGTCCTTGACCTCTCTCCTTCGCTGGTGAGGGAGAGGTCAGGAAAAACGCTCCGCGTGTCCCAAGATTACTTCTCTGGCTTCATCTTCTCCTAATTCTCCGAGCACTGCTCCGATTCGAGCAGAATGACTGACGTCTCCGTCTCCTCGTCGTCCGTTAGGTAGCATAGTGCGCTGCCCATGGTTCGTCTGGGGTCGTCCGGATGGGGTAGAGTGAGGACGTTCCATCGAAGGACCAGGTTGTGGTACCCGCTGGTTGTTGCGATGAACATCCTCTGTCTCCATTCCTCGATATATTCCCGCTTGGTTTCCCATAGCGGGTGCGTCGTCTTCTCCTTCCAAATCAACCGCGCGGCTTCTTCTCCCTGTTGTACCCATGCGTTTCTTCGAGTTTCCTCGAATCGGTCGAACGCCTCTGCGTAATGACGGGCAGTCAGCATTCCAGTGTCCTGTCTTTCCGCAATAGTAACAGGCGCCAGGAGGCTTGCCGTCATGTTTCCGTTTTTGGCTAAGGGCATTGCGCTTGCGTGTCGCGTCAATGTCCATGTCAACGACTTGGTTGTTCATTCTGCGAGGGGCGTTTGTGGAATTGTAGCGGGGAGAGATTTGGTTATGAAAACGATTCAGATAATCGCTTCGAAAGGAGGTGGAGTTGGCGAGGATGGCCTTTTGAGCTGTTCTGGCTCGAAGTCGTCCATCTATTTCGCAGGCTGTTTCCTCTTGCTCCGAGTCTTCGGGGATTACCGGCGCCGGTTCCCTGTATTGTGGGGCTAGTTCCCACTGAGCTTCTGTTTCGTTCCAAATATCCTCTTCCTCTGTTCCGTCTTCAAGGGTGAAGTAATAACGCCCGTTTCGGTATGAGCAGTTATCGTAATTCGGAGGGGCAGTTCCGTTATTGTCTTCGTAGACCCAGAAGTCCCCTTCGCGCCGGATAGGGCGATTGTTGTGACGGAGTTGGTTATTGATACGTCTAGTGCCGGGTGGATATTCCTGGCCTAGGTCTTGCTCCAGAGTGTGTGCAGTAACGCTTTCTCAATGGGGGTCTATATCCCCACTGAGCAAGGTTATGAGAGAGGGTGTGGCAGCAAGCTAGTGCGAGCAAGGTAGGGGCAGAAGAGTCTATTCTAGTGTTACGACTGCTCGTCGGTAACCCCAAGAGTAGGAGGTTCTTCCCTAGGTCACTCGTGGAGGATGTGTGGAACGGTGGTCTCGACTGTACGTGTAGCACAGGAGCCAGAAGTGTATTGCGATGTAGCAATGAAGACTGTAGTAGGAAGACTACAGTGAATGAGGGTGTTGTGGTAGGAAGACCACAACGAACGAAGAGAATAGACTGAAGAACCTCAGCCTACTCTATGGGCCTTTTATACTACTTTAGGAAGTAGGGCGTGAGAATACCATATATGTATCCGTAGGTATACTCTAAGTCGTCTCTCTCAATAACGACTACTCTTGTGTTTCTCCGTTAGTCTCCTTCCGGCCAGGAACGACTAGGAGCTCAATGCCCGATGTGTGAGTAGTTTGTAAGGCGGTGTTCCATGCCCGCTACACAATAGGCCCGTGATACTCGACCAACGATAAGGTGATCCGTTGGGAGTGGATGACCAAGGTTACTATCTGTACCTTGTTTGTACGCCTCTCCTTGTGAGGCCGCTTGATATTTGTGATGATCGTGTTGGTATAGACCGCCGTTAAGGCCCGACAGAACGTGATCATAACAGTTACCGACGAGCAGTCGTAACACATACCTAATCTTGTCATGGGGTGTCACATTCCATAAGACATTTATAGAAATTAGCTTGACATATGCTTGGCTTCAGTCATCTATGTACTTCCTAGCTATTACCACAACAATGGAACCAAGTCCACTATTACACTCTGTTACTCAGGCTTGCTATCAAGATATAATCTACTCAAGACCTTGACAGTGGACTCAGCCTCACAAAGCAGCTGCTTTTCAACTAGCTGTGCTACCATTTATTTGATAGCTGGATGAGCATTTTTTTTTATTTCAAGATATAGAGTGGATATAGAGTACATGAGATCAACCTCAGCCTAGCAAGGTTTTAGTTGACTATCAGGGCTTTAGAGCCAGCATTTGAGGATTTGGGCTAGGGTACAAGTATTTTGGCCATGAAGAAACTTACTGACCAGTGACTGATGATTCTTTTATCATGAGACCCTTTTGTTCAGGTTGTTAGTCTAATACTAGAAGCAGTACCACAAAAAGGTGCCAAAAGACCAGTTTTCTTGTTGAATTGTTGCAAAAATACTTGTGAGCTTCCTTTGAATAAGCTTCTGAGATGGTGACAGATGAGAAGATGATACTCCAAGGGCACTGGAAGATGCAGATAGACAAGAGTTATATATCGAAAGGATATGTGTCAAAACATGAGAAGGAGTGGAATTTTGGCTGTAATTAGAGCCTGATATCAGTGATGTGGAGTAGACTGTCCATTTGGGAATGTTTTTAGGCTGTACAGGTGTCGCGGGAGCTGATAGCACGGTCGGAATCGTGAATTCCATGACTGAGGACGACGAGCAGAGCGGTCCATTGCTCAAAGCGTCGAAAAAGCTGTGGGAATAAATCGACCGTGGGAATGTTCCGACCACCGACCAAGAGGGCGCGACTGAATGCAGACTGTATATAGGAGAGACCCAATCGATTCGTCATCGACTATTTACCAGTCTGCTGAAGAGACTAGCCCGTCAGGCGTCTTCTATGCATAGTGATCCTGATTTAGGGTTAGGGTAGCTATCTTATGCTTCCACTGCAGCTTTAAACTTTCTTGAAATTGTCTACCGTCGAGCCTCGGTCTTCGTCTTCCACTCTAGAAGCTTTGACAAGGTCGACCACCTACCGACCTATATCGCTCCTATATTGACTCGAATTAGAGTCCCCACAGCATGCTAAAGACACTTCTAAATTCAGTTTCATACGAGAGTAGGTCCTCCATTGTTATCATGACGATATACTCCCCAGCCCTACTGGAGATACAAGTAAAAGAAGGATGATCAGTACTAGGCTTGGAGCTGTTGAAACCTTCCTCCTGGGGATATGAGCACTGATTAGACCTACTTCTCTGTGATGATGGCTTTTGCAAGCGTTTGTTAGCCCCATCGATATGACCGGATTTGATGGCGCTGTTGGGTCTGTCATAATTTGCATGCCTATCCCACGTGTCTTCCGGTTGCAGACTATATCTACATCTTTCGTGGACATGTGGACTCTGTGCTCTAGTCCATCAGAGTACACCTGTTCAGACGAAGGCTGACGTCGCTGATGTTACAGGACACGGTCATGCGGACACCGCAGCGAGTACTTTCCACAGTGCTTAGCAGTCTTAACTTCTTCCGCATACATATATTGTTCTTGTGAGTCCAATCTTTCCGTCGACGCAAGCTGTGGCTAAAGATTTTGGTCGTTATTTCAGCTCGATCGCCCCAGTCGTCTTCGCCGCCATATCCTACGCGTCCGATGGAAAATATCATGTGGAATACATCGATCTTCTCTTCTGTTGCATGAGCGCGATGACTGGAACGGGACTCACCACCATAGATTTAAGCTCTCTGACAGCTTGGCAGCAAACTATACTTTTCATTCTTCAGCTTGCTGGTAGCCCGGTATGTATACATCTCGCCGCTGTCATGTTAAACATATCTATATAATGCACCCACCCACGCGCTTTAGATAACAGTGGCGCTCGTTTCTGTTTTCTTTCGTCGACGATGGTTTCAAGCAAACCTTCGGAAGATCGTCGAACCCATGTCGCAACGGAACCGAACGAACGATATCACCGAGGATCCACCAGAAAAGGACGTCGTTCGAGGACGATCCACAACGTTTCAGTCCACGTATCGCCAATCAGACATTGCGTCGCGCAATGACAAGGACTCATGCACATATTCTGCTCCTATACCGCCGCCTCGCTTAGAGCGCGCGCACTGCATGCCAGACCTCGGTCACCGCGCATGCGCAGCACCCGGACTAATCTTGTCGTCAACGGCGACGTACTCTAGCTCTTCAGAGAGGCTGGCATCCGGTTTTCTACACAGAATCACAAACGATCATGAACTTGGTGTGAAGAGAGACGCAGATGTGACATCGGGGCAGCAGGGTAGTGTTCACTCCCTCAATTCCCAAAGTGAGTCTGTTCATCCACTTTCATTTTTTCTGTCAAAGCTCAATACATCCATCAGCCCATACTCATCAGAGAATGACGCAACGACATCTTTCATCTGCCAGCCTTGGTGGATTTGGCGATCCACTCACTCTGCCCGTTCATTACTGGCAGCAAAAGTTTCCAACCATCCGACACCAACTCCAGCGCACATTCACTATTCCCTCCGAATCGATATATACGCCTGAGGGCGCGGATGATAGACCCGAAGGCGTCCGGCCAGTACCTTATCTGAGTTTCACTGCAACAGTGGGCGGGAACTCTGATTTTCGTGGGCTATCGGAGCAACAGTATAAAGAACTGGGGGGTGTTGAATATAGAGCGTTGTCTGCGCTACTGTGGATAGTGCCTATGGTAAGTGACAGATAGATTCCAGTCTGATGAGTTACAAAGCCAGAAGGCTGGATTTTCAGTACTATATCGGCACGCTCTTAGTCGCCTTCATCGTAATAGCTCCTTACATGCAGCTGCCAAGGTGGCGAGAGACATTTTTGCCGCCACAGCAGCATCGTGTCATTCATCCAATTTGGTACGTATGTGTTGTTCAAACGCCAATTTGGTCGTCTCATTGCGTCGACAGGTACTCCGCCTTTGAGGTTGTGGGAGCATGGGCAAACTCAGGGATGACTCTGGTCGATCAGAACCTGGTCCCCTTCCAGAATGCATATCCAATGCTTTTCTTGCTCATCTGGGTTATGCTCGCCGGGAATACAGGATTTGTAAGGTCTTCTCAAAATGCTCTGAAATTGCCATAACTTCTGTTCTCTAGCCTATTTTGTGAGCAAGGTATAATGCTAAAGTCCACACTCAGAAATTGATCCCTCGTTGTATCCTTGTCCGCAGTCTCCGTTTCATGATGTAGGTCATTTATACAATCTTATATGGTTCAGTTTCTGTCCTCAAAATTTGACAGTTGGTCTATGTACAAATGCGTACCAAAACACTCATCGTTGCACGCAACGCTACGCTTTTTGCTCGATCACCCGCGGCGGTGTTTTATTTTTCTATTTCCATCCCACCAGACACGCATACTTCTCGTCATACTGATGATTTTCAAGTATGTCTACCTCGAAATGCTACGCTTGATTTTGAAGCATTGATGCTTGGCATTAGCCTCACGAACTGGATCTTCTTCTTGATCTTGTATACCAGTGATCCTGCTACAGAAAATCTATCGGCGGGTCTGAAGACCATGCTGGGAGCCGTGCAAGCTGTTGCCGCACTGCTAGCCGGATTTCAGACCATCTCAATCTCTTCCTTAGCCCCTGCAGTCCAGTACGATTTAGTATCTAAAGATTATTACGAGAAAGCTCATTTCTTGTCAATAGGGTGCTCTACCTTATCATGATGTATATCGCTGTTTACCCGATGTCTGTAACGTACGTGTTTTTTTCAATCCCGTCCCTCTGTCGTACTGACGAGGACTCAAGAGTGAGATCGACAAATGTATACGAGGATCGGTCGCTCGGCGTGGCCGAGGAGGAGGCTATAGATGACAGGAACGAAATGGTCCATGACGGTGACACTTCACGTGTATCGATATGGGGAAGATACCTGGCACACCATGTTCGGCAACAGCTTGCTTTTGGTATTTGTTTTTGAGCTTCAATTTTTATAGCTGAAAATTTTCCATATTCTTGCAGATAATGTGGTGGTTGGCACTCGTGCTCTTTGTGCTTTGCATAATCGAAGTAGGTATCGACTTGATTGGTCATTTGTTTGCTATCTTACTCTCAAATCTCAGCGCAGACAGCTCAGCGATCCTGAGAAGAGTTCCTGGTTCCACATCTTCGCTCTAAGTAAGTCATGTTCCCTCCATGGTCTGCTCAGGTTCTAAGCGGTGTGCGTCAGTTTTCGAGATTGTGTCCGCGTATGCAACTATAGGCCTGACTCTCGGTGTTCCTACGGTATGTCTGCTTCGCATCTTATAGGATGTGTTCCTGACGTTGTTGTAGGCAAACTATGCTCTCACTGGTGCGATGCATAATCTGTCAAAGTTAATCATTTGTCTGGTAATGCTGCGCGGGCGCCATCGTGGTCTTCCCGTTGCCATGGACAGGGCTGTTTTGTTCCCCACGGAGTTCAAGTTAGAATCAGACGAGAATGAGAAGTAGTAAATTCACAAGAATATTACCATAGAGAATACTTAGAGAATACGCCGTCGGATGCTGTTAGTGAGACCTCGTCATCTTTCTGATCGCCGTCAGGGTCTCTGAGATCGGACGAGTTGAGAATTAGTTAAATAATTCAGTATGCATATCCATCCAGCCAATACTGTGGGGATGGTTCGATATTCTATGTACTGAAAGTCAACGTCAGCTCTCGTATTCTCAATCGAACGCTGCGTTCCGCTGCCCACTCCACTCGCACAGCGCTGAGTGTATCTTCAATAGTCATGTGGGCTGCATGAACTCAGACGTCAGAAAGGATTCGGGAGGAGTCAAGACAGTCTATTCACCTTCGCCTCCAACATTAAAGTTCAATGACTTGAATGGGTCTGAGCCCGCGCGTCCTTGTCGAGGAGGAGCACCTGGATTGAAGAAGCTGGTAAAGCTTGAGCCAACTTTCCACACAAGGACAAGCCCTTCCTCCAGAGAGACCGTGATCAATCGCCTCCCATCAGGCGAGAAACTGCACGCTGCGGGCCTCTTTTTGTGACCCTCCAGGACGTATAACCGTGTGGCCGTTTTCAAATCATACATTATAACGGCGCCTTCGCTGGTACCCACAGCCAAACGCTGGCTGTTCATGTGAAAGTCCACAGTGGGAAAGCTATCAAATATCATTATAAACAACCCTAGACAATATAACACAGTCAAAGCGCACGTTTTAACGACATGCCCTAGAATCTCAGTAGCTGTGTCGAGAACTGCCTCTCGGCTCGAAGTCGAGTTGGGATCTAGAGACTTCACCACGGCTTCGACTAACCGCGGTAGATTGGGATAGATGACCAGTGGTTTCTGAAAGAAGTCAGAGGTCGAATGTATGACGACATACCCTTCATACCTTTTTGATAAGAAATGCAACAAGTTGCATAATGGATTTGCGTGATTCGACACCCCTAGGGTGTAGAATATCCAGAGACAAGGTCGTCATAAATAAGGCAGTATTATGGGTGGCGATTTGAAGCACAGCGAGGCGCGCCTGTGGCCCAATATTCTGCGAAGATATTGTGTCTTTGCGAGAGGCCGTCGCCAGAGTGAAGAGAGACCGCAGCATCTCCATCGCATCGACGTATTGTTGCCAGATGTGAAAGCCACGAGAACAAAGATCGATCGCTAGAAGTTTGTCAGGCACGTCCTCGTCTTGGAGGTACAATACGATAGACTTCGAGATATCGTTGAGAGCGCTGAATAACCATGAGCCAACCAGTCTCCGAGAAGAAAAAATGTAACCTTGGTGACAAAAGACTGTACTTGTCTGCTGCAATATAGCCACACAGAAACAGAGCCATTGCAACAGCAGGTAATTTACGCTCCGCATCCGGCTGCAAAGAAGGCACTGAAAAAATTATGTCGGAATAGATAATTGAGTATATCATGCACACCAAAGACCTACAGTGATGCTGCCATCGTTCCACCAATGTCATTGTCTCCCCGATGGACAAATTCGCAATGCCAGCGTCAAATAGAATGCGTGCTGCTGATCTTAATTCGACTACTATTTGATAAGTATATAGTCAGGAACTGGATTTGAAAACATACCGGAAGTTTCGAACCACCATCGAGCCAGGAATGGAAGGCTTGGAGGCCGGTAGTTGGCACCAAGTCCCTGAGATAGAGAACTGGCATAAAATGCTACAACAGTGCTTGCATCGTCCATTGCATCTACCGCTATTTGTCAAAGTGTGGACAAATACATTTCGAAAATGCGAACCTTCCATGTGACCGAGAGCGCGTAAACAGGAAACGATAGCTAAAGCACGGGCTGCCGACGCATCTGCTGAGACACACCAAGCGCTCCATGGGTTATCATGGACGGTCAGGGAAACGGAATCGTTGCTAATGCATTGATGAGCATGTATTGGGTGGGCCACCACAGGCGCATGACTTGCCTGTAGAATCCTGAAGATGCTGATGTCCTACTAAGCTTCAATCTGTCTCTGCAGATCGAATCAATGTCCACATTTAAACCAGGTGTAAGTACAGCCCCTAAGGCAGCACGGATAGCGCCGACAATTATTTGAATATTTTTCTGGTCATCGCCATTTGACGACTTTGAAGTAGAGATTGCACTGGAAAGCAATTGTTCCAAATCGACCAAGACTGTAGCAGCTGTCAGAGTGTTAATTTGATTCTTACAGAACCAAGATACATATATGTAACACACCCCCATCGCTACTGTGGACTTCAGATCCCAGGGAAGCAGAGACATCCTGAAGTGAACGTGGCCGATGCTCCAGTGGACTTGATTACAGTCAGATCGAGGAAACAGCAGTAGAGAGATGGTAGCACTCACACCTCTGTCCAACCTCCTTGACTCAGCATTTCTTCAACTTTATCCGAGGCCATTGAACGCCAGAATTCTTTGGTTTTGGCGTTCCATAGACGAGCTCGAGTGTTCGCATAGGTCAGAAGCATGTTGTCGTTGTTGATGCAAATGCTATTCAAGCGTGCCTGAGACCCTGGTACAATATGAAGGCTATAGCAAGATTCAGCTTCATCAAAGAAAGCGAGATTGTCACACGTACAACTGATACTCATCCAAAACAATCACGGCGATGGTACCATCGTAGGAGATACAAAGTAGACAGCCATGAAGCGGTTCTCCTTTATCTTGTCGTATTTGAACCACATCCGTTAATGATGTTGTAAATATTGTCCAACGTGCTAGAAGGTTCAAGGAACTAGGTGACATGATGGTAAGTCCGTTACTTATTCTTATTAAGCGCGCTAGACCTACTCGGAATCCCATACTGCCACTGAGCCATCATCAGCGCCCCCAACGATCAGTCGTTCACCTGTATAGTCATTATGTACAAAATGCAAATCCACGATTGGTCCATTGAGTGGTATGTTGGATGATTTCATTGATCCACTCGGCGATGTAAAGTGCATCGAGTCAATGAACGACTGACTTCCAATGGTACCATCGCCTGTGATTCAATCGCAGAGTCAATTCGAGAACTCGATTGTAAGTCGTGAGTCACGCAACTATAACCGAGTACGACGAGGCTGAATTCCAGAGGTAGCAGACAGGTGATGCGTTTCGCTTTGGGAAAGGAATTTTGCACTTTATAGGAAGCTTTCCAGACTGTCCTCCGAGGGTGTTTGCTCATATCCCCCGCTTCACATACCTGGATCTTGCGACGACCCTTGTCGCTGACGCCAGTGAAAAAAATATCTGCTTTGGGTGTAATTTGGATTGCTTGCTGTCCGAGTACTGAAACAGAGGTCACAACCTGTGCACTAGAGCAGATCCATCAAGTCATTCAACATATGAGCGTACATTCGAGCTATCACTGACTGCAGTATAGCCTTGGCAATGTCGGCGTCGACCTCATTAGTGTTAGCGTCAACGGAAAAAACCTTGAACACGTCGACTCGATCCTGTGGAATGTCAGCTTCAAAATGGGCCCCGGTTACGAATAAAATGGGATGTTACTGCATATATCAGAGTAAATGTGTTCTTGTCCATCCATTCCGCGCTTCGTACTCCTTCGCACGGTGTCGAACAGACTCGGTTGAAGGAGATAGGATCACATCGAAATACCTGCGGAATCGTATACAGCTTTCCATTAGACAAATCGGGTAGGACTTACGACGACTTCATGATCTAACCAGACCAGGCCATATGTCTCGCTTTCGGACCTGATAATTCGCATACCATGAATATCAGAGTCCGGTGCGAACTCGCCAGCGATAGTCGGGGCATCCACTTCGAGCCTTCCTGGCAAACGTGTCTTGGTACGCAACGGTTCCTTCTCCTGAGTTGAGGCTGGTTTGAACGGGTTGAAAGCGAGAGCCGACAAGCCAGTCGAAGCAGCCTCGACATGAGACTGTATAGACTGAAGAAAGGAAGCACGAGCAACGATACGAGAGCTCTGCCTTGTAAATTGACTCGCAGAGTTCATGTAACACAGCGTCAGCTGTCCTGAAATCTGACGTTATCGTCCATTGAAACATAGGAGGCGTTACTGCCTACCATCGCCTGTAGGTATCAATGCAATGCATTCTGAACTGGCATCTACACACCATTCTCCTATCTTTTCGAGCTCTACACCCGCCGCCTCAAGCGCAAACGTTTTTCGGAGGTCCAACAGGGTAACGCGAGAGCCTGCTTTCTGATCGCCTTCGCCGCTGTCATGCGTTGACAGCGGGAGAGCATTTTCGTCCAATTCGGCACAGGCCATAAGGATAACAGACTGTGCCACAAAGAAGGGGTGTTTGAATGCTCAACTGATGAAGGGCAAGACAAAATCTCACACCTCTCCAATTTCAATGACCTCCAATCGTTTCCAGGTCCATACGCCGTCCGGATCATGAACGTCCTTCATGCCTGCGGGTGGTAACATGGATGATGACGCAATCTGTATAAAAGCGCAACAAGTGCCATCTTCAGCAGATATCACACAGATATCCCTGCAGGTATGTGTGAGTAATTAAACTACTATGAAAAGAATCTATTACCCTTGTTCTTGCAAAGAGACAATTCGTCGACCATGATCAATTATTCGCAGACCAGAAACAGCACAATCTTTTCCGAAACGAGGAGGAAACGTATGATATTCGAGGCTCAGAGCATACCTAGCAGGCGTGGAAGGGAGGAACGCAGGAGAGGAAGGCACAGAAATAGATCTTGCTGTAAGCGCTGGTGATTGTGTCGCGGACAGTAAAGACTTCGCTTCAGTTGAACGAACAGTGCTCGTGACGGGAGAGAGAAGCGAGGTCGGCGCTGTTGATTTGTCAATAGTAACACCCTTGTCAAAATGAGGCAAAAAGCGTTCTGCAACAGATCGCTCTCTTACTCCAGATTTGAGGTACTCTTTCAGCTTTTCCGGCTCTTCGTCAAAATCGACGTAGTTTTTTGGCGCCTGCACCTGTTCTGCGGAGATCCCGGAAACGATCCGGGCCCGTGGTGAGACAGTGAAGGGGGACAGTCCAGATGTGAGTGACGAAGGGGTGCTGGATCGTGAGAGCGACGTTGAGCGTCTGGAGCCATGAGGAAGAGGGCTGGATGGTCTTGATGGTGATCTGCTTTCCGGATCTACGGGCAAGTGAGATGGGGTGACCGCTTCAGGTGGACGATGGAGGATAAAAACAGTCCCGTCTTCGCAACCAATGGCGACTCCCCCAAGAGAGTTCGTCGCGGTCAGCGTCTGAGTGGGATCTGAATCAGTTCCTGTACGGTGCTCCCATGAAGTGATGAACACAGCTCGAGCGTCTGAGCATGTCTTCTCTACAAGGTTTCGGGCGTTTCCTATACATGCATGCGTGTCATCTGACCCTTGTTCGTGTAAGAACGTGAACGGCACGATCAAGGACGTGGAATTCATGGAGCCTAGTTCAACTGGGTCCCAGAAATATCGATCGGGGCAAAAGCTGAAATCCCACCGTCAGCAATTATGCCGATAATTTGGGTCCCTGCCACGCTGCAACACCCCAATGAGTTATGCGCACAAGATACGGATGGCTTGAGTAGGAGAGACGGTGGAGAAGAAGGCGGAGTGCACCGGCAGTGGCCGACGCCCAAGGAGTACTCGGATCACGTGGCTGCCACGCGAGCAAGATGTTGCAAACAACGGCAGTGACGTTGGCTGACATTTGTGACCAGCGGTCATTCAGCCCGTCTGAGGGCTTCAGCTCCTTGACGATCTAGGATCAGCAGACAACGTGAGTGATTATTTGCATCACCATATATAGTCCAATGCTCATAGAGAGTGCTATAGCCAGCATGAATCCACAAACATCGAGAGAACAGTTCGATGCTTTGATCGATCTACTTGCCACGGACAGTGGAGAGCATGAAAATCAGGATAAAGACACGAATGCCGTGCTCAGAAACCCCGACGGGAAGCTTGACTTCGCTAAAATTCGATCATTTTTCACTCATCGAGGTGTCGATGAGACCGCAGATGATCAACCGCTCGAACGCGGGCCTTCTACGGCGTCGGGATTTCCCAAGATCGTACCAGACAACCTAAGCCCCGAACGCGCGCTTTCAAGGTCTATTGAATCAAGTGTAAGGCTCTATAACTTCCACTTTCTGGGGACTTCATCTCACCCGTGGGGAAAGACTGCATCCGTTCCAGCACTATCATCGTCCTTGCATACATACGATCCATTTGATAACCCGAACGTGAAAGATGATCGAGCGCACAGCGAAGAAGCCACGTCGCGCGACAAAGTTGAGCATATCGTAAGCCACGAGGTCAATTTCACGTGGTTATTTTGCGTTGTTCGCCGTTTGACATCAATCTTAGGACAAGCAAGAACGCCTTCTTCCACAAGACACCAACTCTGAGCGTCTGGTGAGTTCCTATCACTCCAAAAAAAAATCTAAGGGGTAATAGGTGAACCATTCTGGATTAGGATAGATCGTCTCGCGACGCTCTGGTGACAAAGCTGGAGGGAGCACTTGCGCTCTCCAAGGGCGAAATTGCCGCCCTGCGTAATCAAGTGGATGACCTTCACGCGATGATCTCAGAGCTCTTTGGAAGAGACGCTGTTTCCGACTATCGTGCGAGACACGTTCATAAGGATCCACCTGAAACCAGGGAGCAGATTCGCAGGAGCAAGGATCTTGGACATCATGTTCCCTTAAATTATCATGATGCTCTCGCGGAACCTCACGCCAGCGCTGCACGTTCTGAGCAACTAGATGTGCTTCCTCTACAAAAAATACTTTCGAAGGTACAGCATTGTCATGGAACTGAACAGCTTTAGAGACATTGATGTCGCAATTATAGCACCCTGGAACCACACCCGCGCGTCTTCGCGATGAAAGCCCATCCCACGAACAATCTGGCTTCAGGATCGTACCTGTATCAGATCCCGGTGACGCGCAGCGCGCTATCGACTTTGTAGCTCGTGTGGATGATATTGTGTGGCGGAGATCCCTATATCCGACTGCCCGCGGAGTGCCACACGCGCCAATACTTTCGGAGAGTAATTTGGACGCTCTTCTTAAGCGAATCATGTTATGGGAGGGCATTGCCCGGGGCCCTTCCTCCTGACACCGCCGCTATCTTCTGATGTCTTCTTCACACGTCCCCGTGTCCGGTTATCATGTGCTGTTGTTCACTCGGGCCATCCACCAGAGCTGGCGAATGTTTGATTGCCCGATGTCGAAGCCTGAGGTTTTGCACCTACGCATCTCATCCAGGAATGACTCACATCTGTTCCTCGCGACTTCCCGCTCCTTCGGGATGCTCCTAGGCTAGTGAGATGCACCTATGCAAAAGTTGATTTTTTTGTCTCAGACGCCGTCAGATGCTCCCTGAATTCAGACCGATCGCTCGGCCCACTTTTGCATACCCGAATTGGAATCGCTGAATTTATCGGCCAGCCCTATCTCTACAGTATAATGCTTCGGAAGGATCACATGTGTCTCCTATTTTTTTCCCATCGTCTATACCTCGCAGAGCCTTTGTGCTGCGGAACTGCGTAAGTTATTCCTTGCCATGTTCGCATGTTCTGCCTGATCAATATTTCTAGAAGAGGTTTCAAGTTAAAGTATTACGCGACCAAGCGGCCCTCCCCTACTCTCCATCTCCCACTTCGATATCACCGCCTCCTGTCGCGCCCTCAGCATACCCCGAAGTTAAATGATGGACATCATGCAGCAGTCAACCGCCTTTACCGTGTACACTTGTGGCTTAGGCACGTACCACTCAGATCATATCGCGGGCCTTCCATTGAAGGGATATCAAGGTTGTTTAATATTTCTGGGTGTCTCCTTCTGCATCCTCAAAAAAAGGTGGACAGCAGACCAGGTCATTTCTACGTTGCAAACTACCTTTATCATTCTCTGGGAAGGTGAGCGCCGTAGCACTGTACAGCACAGCATATTCAGATCCTGATCTCACCGTTAGGTTTCATGCCAGACTACACCTGAAGGAAAGTCCCTTTCAAGAACAATGAACACTATCTTCTGGAATTCTATCAAGCCACGAGAATCCCCCACTGTGCACAGGATTTGTGTTGAGGCATTGCTGACTGTGCCGCTTCCCTCGAGGAACATCTTACGGACTTGTTTGTTTGTGAGCTAGTAGTGTTCGGCGACAATCATTGATGATTCTGAGTGCCATACTTGTTGATGTAGTTGCCTCTAAGGAGGACGAGGTCACGGCAGCGGTATCAATGCAGATGCCTCCACGTGCAGTTGTGGATCCATGTTTGCTTTCTTTTTGAGCGCTTGTCCTGTGACATGCCTCTCGCATACTATGCATCGCCCTTGTTTTCTAGATGTCGAGAATTCTGCTGCTTTGTACTGCCCAATGGATTCACAGCCCGAGGCCAATGCTACAGCGCCTCGGCACATATAAGGAGTTCACTTCAGCTCTGCGTTCAGACAAATGCCTCCTTCTACTTTGACTGCCGTTGTGAGCGAGGCGGTGACCTCTCCTGCCCCAGAGACCTCGAACATAGCGTTTGAACAATCGGCATACACAACCTGGCGCAATGGCGCTATTGCCATCAGTACGTTGCTCACTCTTCCTCACTGGTTCTACCAAACACCATCATCGCTTGCGTATGCAGTTGTTTTATTCAGTGTCTTCTGTATTGTGACGCATGTCGCGTCGGAAATGAAGGACACGCCCTCAATGATCCTAGAATGGAAGAAGGGCTTGAAGAAGTTCCGGCACGGTGAGTAAGATCAGATTAAATCGACGTATAAGAGCGTATACCTTGCTGAGCAAGGTCACGGATTCTGTCAGATCTTCGCCGGAGACTGATTCTTGAAGTCATTGAAGGTCTCCAACGTCTTCATGTCGCGCTCTGATAAGGCATACATCACAAGTTTGAGCGACAAACGCGGGAATATCCCATATAACCTTTCATTCATTGTACGTCGACGTCCCGTCTGCCTCTGGATATGGCTCGGCCTTACAACTATCACACTTGACGAGCAGAACCTCTCATATATGATTAGAATACCCCAATCCCCTGTATAACTGATATACTTTTCCTTTTCGTTTCAAACTTGGTGTTGCTCAATAACATCCATATTGCTTCATTTGACAAGGACATTTAGACTCGTTGACACAATACATATAACAGTGCTCCAATGCATTCCTGTTTTCGGCTGCATAGCAGTGGCTGCACCATATGAGTATCTGCGTCCCCAGCCGAGAAAACAGGCAGTAGAAGACGTACCACGTATACCACAATAGAAGCGAGGGCATTAAAACAAGTAGCTTTTATCAACCCAAGAGGTTGTCCCGATTGTGCTGGCCAGGGTGTATGAAGCAGCCTGGCTCGCTGACAGTTTGGTCGCAAAAGAGGCTCGAGAAATGGTCGGGATGCCGGGTCCGGTCGTGTTGTAATCCGCAAAGAAAACATGGTCCGTCTGAGCTGCCGTGCTACTCCAAACAGACCAAAGAGCCTTGTTCAAAGGAGCCGTGACATATGTGTTCAAAAATACAACGCGGGCATAGTCTGATAGTACGCGAAAGGTTCTGCGTCAAAGATCGCAACAGAGGTATCGTGAGACAAACCTCTCCATGGACGACCTAGATACAAGGCGCTCGTTGATCCTGGGTTTGGCGCGAGTTGAATGGTATTTCGGTTGAAGACGTCTAGAAACAACCTTAAATAAGACATGCAGATGGCGTCGCACAGCGAGTGTACGCACAAATTGCCGAGTTGTTAGAATCCCTGCCCGATGCCGTGACATAGCCGTTGGCTTTCATGGAAATCGTATTGCCCTCGAAGTAGGCTTGCGCTTTGGAGATTTACGGAATCCAGCAAAAAGCATGAGCTGTCTGATACAGTACGCACCGGTTTGTCCAAAGATGAAATCGGTCGCGCCCTCAATATAGCTTTGTAGATACACCTGGGTGTCCTGCTCCGCGAGCAGCGTGTCCTGATATCCATACAGCCCGCACGAATAGCATCCAACCTTGTCCCCGTAGTTGCTCAATGCGATGGCCTGGGAGCCTACTCCAAAGCTGTTTTTAATGTTGATGTTGTATATGGCGACGTTGTTGGAGTGTATTCGAAGCGTGCCTGTCTCGTCGTCCGAAAGCCCGGATGAGGCAGCATTCGATGCGACGAGGTTGACTTGGTTGGCGGCGTAGCTGCCTGGATTGGATGTGTAGCCTAATAGCTATGACGATGGATCCATGATAAGTGAGAAGTTCATTGATATGCATCAGACATACCGTGACAGGTCCTGAACGTTGAATCAATACTTGTTCGTTGTATGTCCCAGGGTATATGAAAATAGTCTGTGATGATGAGTCCGAGGGAAGCGCGGCGACAGCCGCGCCGAGTGTGGCAAACTCTCCAGAGGTCGTGGTACCAACGCGAACAATCTTTGCGCCTGACGGCGGTGCTGTGCGAGAGGAAGGAGGAGACAAAGAAAGTGCTCCGAGGGGAAGGAGCACAAGGATTGGTAAGAGTAGACGCATGGTAAAGGACCAGGTACGGGTGGGGGCGGATAACTGCATGTACGTCCGCGCTATTTATCAAACGCTACCACTTCGGTGGACCGACAATCAAAACACGTAGGCGGGCCGTTACCACTGCCTTTCACATAATTGGGACCATGAGCCGCGTCCGGAGCTGAGTGGTAAGTTATCCAATCAAGCAACTTCAGGCTATGGAACACGGGAACAACTCACCCGACGAAGGGCCGTCGGAAATACTACAGATCACCAATGTAACAGGTTGACACTGAGATGCTGAAGTTTGGAAATTGAATTTGTCGAGGAGGTTTTACTTGGATACAGAATAGGAGTAGAATAGGCCGCCCGAAGCCATCCAGAGGTCATGCCAACCCGGTCAGGGGTCCAAACGCATTGAGCCGGCCCGGATTGCAAAACTCCCAGCAACATGCCTACAATGCCTACATACAAAATCGTCAGATGGCCACTGGCAATGATGCCAATTCGACTCCCGAGTGGGAGAAGATAGCCTGAAATAGATTGACTGTGAGTACAACGACTCACGAGCGATCTTGAAAAAAAAAATAGATGAAAGATGTCAGGTATGTGTTCACGTTTCCATCTATTGCAACGCCCAATTCACAGCCCCTTCTGTGCCTCGTTCGAGACCTCTTACCTACTCTCAATTCCTCCGAGATTGAAAAGGATTGCAGCCAAATATCCAGAACTGCTGAAACGCGGGCTGCTACAATCCAGATCGAATTAGCGATCAACAATACGCCTCTTTGGCGAGGGTCTGGGACATTGACTTAAACCCCATCAAGTGGTGTCATTAAGCCCTCCCTGCACATTCACTCTAGCTCAACAAAAATCGCCCAAGTCAGAGGAAAGAAAGCCTCAGAGATGTCTGTAGAAGTTGATGTCGTACCTGCTAGCCATCGTTCTCATTTCGCCTTGCTCCCGCGTGGGACGACTCCATGCCCACGGACCTGGAGCAAGATCCAGCATGCCAACTCCGCGGAAAGGCAGCTGCGGAAACTAGACCCAGAATCGGGTCTCGTCCTCGTCTGACTCACACACGCGGTCATCGACATCCTCAAAACAAGAAGTCAATGAATAAACGGTGAGTAGTACGCGTCAAGAAAAAAAAAACGTTCATTCGTTAGATGGCAGGTGTCGTGCGGTGGTGACTCCCACAAGACTATACAAGAGCAGTGTAGTGCAGAGATTTGTCGACGGCGATGCATTCATATTCGCTCCTGAGCGCAACAGTGAGAAAAAATGAGACAACGAAGCCGCATATAAGCACGCAATAAATCGCTCTAGTAGAGTTCGGTCGTCGGTCGACCGCTACGTGCTCAACAAGTCCAAATGTCCATGAGACAGCGTGTCAACAGAGAAAAAAAAATGAAAGAAAGAGAAAGCGAATCCACGAAACTCATGAAAAATATAAGATGGTCATATAAGAAGAGACACCCAACCGGGATAGTCCGCCGCGCACGTCGAATCCTCTGCACAAGTGGAGTTCTCGATAGGACTCTAACCATTCAAGGGGCATTCGCTGAAAGCTCGATGGGACAAGGCGCGTTGGTGACCGACGTCGACGTCTGGTGCTGGCTAGGAAGACCGGCGATCTTGAAAGCAATGTTGAGCGTGAACCTCAGACCTGGAGAACAGCCTGCGTGAGAATTGATCCTGGAAGAAGCTCGATAGAAAGGCCTTACCCGGCCGGTCCCCGTTGATCAGTGCCTTGTTCCTACAAGCGTCGTACCAATTTGTCCCTGTCCACACGACTCAGCGCATACAATGAGGGTGAAGCGAACAAGAACTGACAAGTTGTATCGGTAGTATTCACCGTAGTGTATGTGAAGTTCAAGGGCATCTGGATATTGGAGAACGTCTTCGCAGGCAGTGTCGTCTTGCCCATCTCTCCGTGCCCGACCTCCCGGAGGGAGTCGAGGTCGAACACTGTAGCGTGAAGACTGTTAAACGTGAGTGGGAGGAAGTTCGACCCGGTGTCGATCTGGAGGTCCGCGACGGCCGGGAAGGAGAAGTTGGTCGGGATTCGGGAGAACTGGATCGGTATAGACGAATTGAAATCTCCTGAGGCGCTCTGCAACGGCGTCCTCCCGTTGAGCTCAAATCCGGGAACGCGCGGGATCGTGAACGCGAGCACAATGCCAATTCTGCGGACAAAACACTCCTGTCAGAACGCGCTGCACGGGGACGCAAAGCGGGAAATGGACACGCACGCGACTATGAGGCCGAAGCCGATGAAGACGCACACCCTTCGCGTCAGCCACTTGCGTCCAAGTAGCCCGCGCTGGCCTCGATTGAACTCCTTCCACTGCCGTGAGCGCCTCTCCGCCTTTTTCTCGCTCTTGCCCGCCTTGGTCATGTCCCGCAGCTCCGAGGCTTTCCATTCTGGGCCAAGTGCGGGGACGGTAACCATTTCGACTGGGCCGACCGTGCTCAGGTCGTCATCGAGTTTGCTTGGAGTGCCATGTGGAGGGAGTTGGTGGTAGCTGGCATGTCAAGAATCAGGTAGGTAGATGGTATGACAGCGATCGGGAGGCAGCATGACCACCGAAACATTGGGTTGTGATATAGAGAAGATACAACGCACCTGGCCTCGCTCTGACCTAGCCCAAACGCAGTGCTGTACCTTGGACCCGTGTTGTTAAAATCTGCAAAGACGTCCCATCCAGCGTCATTCCCATGTGCCTCCTCATCGTTATAACCGCCCTTGATCGGCTCCTGCCTCCCAGCATCGAAGAACGATTGGCGATTGTATCCCGCAGACTGCCCCCGTAGTACATCAGCGCTTGGCCGCGATGTATTGCCGGCATTTGGGTTAAAGAATGACGAGGCAGAGTCTCTCCGTGCTCGCCCATCAGGTGGAGCAGTCGGTGGTGGAGATGAGTAGTCGCGGTTCAGAGCGTCACCAGAAGGGCGTCCACCGTAGAAAGAGGATACTGCAGACTTGCGATCGTATTCCATGGCGTCGGTCGAAAGATATGTGAATTACAAGGTGGGAAAGGAAGGAGCGGAAGTGTTAGGAAGACCGCAGACGATGGCTAAATCACCCCAGCGTATCCTGAACGGTCAGGATGTAATGCTGAGCTCGCCGAGGAGATGTATAGCGGCGCTCGAGGTTGTTGGCAACGATGAGGACGAAGAGAAGCGGGCAGAGGTGGGGCCGGAACGAGACCGTGTGGGCGCCACCACCTGCACGGTGTCAGGGGTCTTGACCTGCTCAAAAACTGCTTCCGTCTTGAGCAGTTCTCTCCCTCTCTCTCCTGTACGAGTACAATGAACTGGGAACTATTGTCTATGATAACGTTGAAATGTGGAGCCTAGGTAAGTGCAAAGCAGTAAAGTACAGTAATTTACAGGATATCCTCCGAATTCTTTCGCTGACGTACATAACTCCCCTTACCGATCCACACCGATTATTCTTACATCTATGGAAATATAGGTATAAATCATATGTTCAGGATCCCTACCGATATCTCCTTCTAAACAGTCATGTATCGAGCATTGGATACGTCCTGTTCCGAGGATGGATAACCACAAGGCGCTTGTCGGTAAAGTTCTCGACGTCGAACCGGCCGTAGCCACTCGCACCACTAGAAGTCAAGCATCGGGAATCAATATAAATTACAAAGTCGGAGCTAGACGTGACGTACCCGATGCCTGCATTTCCAAGCCCTGACTCAGTGTTTATAGTGGGCCCATTAATGTTCGTCGCGCCTGTGCAACATCGTCAGCCATATGGTCATATTGCTCTCGAGAAGTGAGAAAAAGAGGACTCACCAGACCGCACTCGCATGGCAACGTCCATGGCGTTATAGACATCGTTGGTCCACAGGGACGCTGCTAACGTATACTCTGACGAATTCGCCAACTCGACCGCCTCATCGATAGTATCGACAACTGTGATCGACAGAACTACATCACAGACCAGACGTAGATCAGATTGCCTGCCCGAGTAGTGATGAAATGAAAGACTGACTCGGTCCAAAGCTCTCCCTCTCCCAGAGCCGCATCCCCGGGCAGACCCCGAGTACTAGGTGCGGCTTCACGATGGTCCCCTCTCGCGTCGCATCCCCTAACACCAGCTCTGCGCCTGCAGCCTTCGCATCCTCGAGCAGTCCAACCACTCCTTCGGCGCTCCCCTCGTTGAAAAGAGCGGAGAGGCGCGCGCTTTCGGGTGCACCGACATTGAGAGACGCGATGTTCTTCTTGAGAGCTTCGATGAGCGGTGCATCGGCTGGTCGCTGGATGATAACGCGCTCCGTGGACATGCATATTTGACCAGAGTTAAACAGCCCTCCGTAGACAATTCCGCGTGCTGCAGCGTCGATATCAGCGTCTGCGAGAACCTAATTCAAAATTTAAGGAAATGAGGAGACGTCAAGTGAAGAGAGAACAACCTACAATCGCGGGTGCCTTTCCGCCTAATTCGAGCACACATGGCTTGAGGTGGCGTGCGGCTTCTGCGGCGATGATCTTCCCGACACGATCGCTGCCAGTGAACTATACTTTCATTGCAGCTTCCTCCGCATGACACGGAGAAGTGGGGCTTACTGTGATCTTCCGCACAAAAGGGTGTGCTATGATCTCCGGAGTGAGAACAATAGAGTCTTCGCGTGAGATCGGGATGTAGTTGAGCACGCCTGGTGGAAGACCGGCCTGGGTGGGCGTGAGAATGCAGAAGCTGCGTTTGTGAAGGCTCTGACATACCTCGTGAAATGCGTCAACGACCAAGGCTTGCGTGCGAGGGCTGTACTCAGATGGACGCAGGACTACCGTGTTACCGCAGATCATGGGGATCGCAGCGCCTCGAATGGTTAGAGGGATCGGACCGTTCCAAGGTACGACGGAATACCTATCGGGATAATCAATGGTCCGCGTAAACTGCTTATTGAGACATCCGATGCTTACACGACTCCTTGAGCCCGCCGCTGCACGAATGCCTGACCGCCACCCCACACGCTGGGGAACGTCTCACCTTTGAGCTCGTTCACCATTGCTGCCACGTTCCGCAGCGCGGCGTCTGCCCGGATCGAATTAAACTTCGCCCAGGCGTCCGTAGATGCGGTCTCGTCTCGCAAGGCCTCTATGGCCTTGCGTTGCCATTCCTCGCTCTCCATAATGACCGCAGCGCGCAGGAAGATGTCGCGCCGAACAGCAAGGGGAGCTGCCTCCCATGCAGGGAACGCGCGATGCGCGGATTCGATAGCGGCGCGACAGTCATCTGCAGAGGCGGAGGCAGATGTAGCGACTTGTGTCTTGTGGTATGGATTATGCACGGCGAAGGTGGCCCCCGTGCTCGAGGGTCGCTTCTTGCCGTCGATGAAGAGGTGAACAAAGGGTACCGAGTCCTGTTGTGCCATTGATGCTGAGAAGACTGCCGAAGACCATTTCGGTGGGCGGTTTTATACAGAGAGGCTGTGCCTGCTGCGTGGGTTGAGTGTGGGTCAAGTTTCCAGCCTCCTGACTAACGAAATCGAGCGATTGTCAGGTGTCGTAGCGCTATGGGAAATCACTGATTTGGTCCCATACGGGTCGGTAGAAGTCGAAGCGACGATTATCTGCTAGCAAGTGAATTTGATTGGTTAGGTGATGCGAGTGGACGAAATAGCATGCAACATAGCATAGTGGTCTACTATGCAGACTTTAGGCAGAAGTTGTCCTGAAAAGCAATTAGTGCATAAAAGCTCGTTGCTAGGGAGAACACAAAGGCTATCTGATTGGCGTGGGTGTGGCTGGGTGCGGGAAATACACCAGATGCACCAAACTTAGCCTACGCACTCGAGAGCTCTCGAGAGTCATGAGACTCGCCCGACGCCGAGGTCATTGCAGGCGGCAATCATGGTGCGGCATTGTTCGGCATCTCGCGTGACTCGGCTTATTTGGAATCCCAGCCCGAACCACAACAGACGAGAAGGACCGAGAGCGTCGGTATGTCGCGCCTCACGTCCATCAACAGCTAAGACGGAAACGACTGCTATTTTTCTTTTCCATCTTGCACTGCCTGGATGCATCACGGCCAATCTGGTACCTCTCTGGCTGGTCCTCTGGATGACAGCGATCATTCGCTTGGCCATGATGCTCTGTCAGAAAATATTCCTCTGGATGGGGCCCTCAATACCACAGTACAGCTTGTCAGACCATACTCCTCGTCTTCTCGGGGCTTACCCTTCACGATCACCACCCCAGGCATGTCTGCCAGCCTGTATAAGCGCACGCTGTCGTCAGCCCTACTGGATTGTGAAGAGCACTTGTATTCACCTTCGTATGATGGGACTTTGTCTTTAGACGACGGGCACTTCAGTCCTGTTCAGCTGACACCCCGACCGGAAGCTCCAACTAGGGCCAGCTCATCCACTGGGTCGACCTCCTCTGGATCGACTAGTGTCTCTCAAGCTTCAACTCTGGTTTCTTCAGGCAATCATCCCGATATACTTACGCGCATCCAAACTGGACTTTTGACTTTGAGCAAAGGAAGTAGCGCGATGTCCTCCGCTGCAACTAGCCCCACTATAGCTAGCTCGTCAGGCTCGTCAAGGCCCAGTTCCGTGTGGGGCGGTAGCTCTTCATCAAAGACGTCTATCCAGTCATCTATCGCCGCTGTAGATAAATTTACTCAGAAATGGCCGAGGCCTAGATCGCTTAGGCAACCACCTCCATCTCTTCGTTCTAATCCTAGTTTGTTCGTGGGTACGGCGAGATATGGCGGCTGGAGCGAGAGCGAGATGAAGGCCGCGCTCATGGAAGGGAAGGGGTTGGGTGTAGACTGGAGAGGCCGATGGACACTGCACAAATGGTGTCTGCTCGTTAGCGTCACGTCTGTATTTGTTTGTGGACTTGGAGGGATCCTGTGCTCCCTATTGACATGGTTCGCGGGTAAGCCTCTGGTTGTATGCCTCCTTACAGACACATACCACTAACACCAAGCTTCGTGACAGCCTATCCTGTTGCCCCCATGCTCCTCGCCACGGACTCTCCAGCACTCATTCTCCTGACTCTGACTTCATCTCTCCTCCTCCTATCTTCTGTAATCGGCATCACCGGAACACTTTTGAACTCGCGGCCCATCCTTGCAGTCTACGCCCTCCTTCTCTTCCCTACTTTCTTCTCTCTCGCCTCCATCGGCTACGTCACCTACAAGAAGGCGCACTTTGCTCTCGACCGCAAACTCAGCGAGGCCTGGAGCGACTGGTACACACCTGGCGTGCGGCTTGTCGTGCAGAGCGCCCTTCACTGCTGCGGATGGCCAAATCCCCTGCACGGAGCCGCGCCGTCGGGCACATGCTATCCGCGCTCACCGCTCCCCGGCTGCCGCGATCTGCTGCTCGACTTCGAGCGCACAGTGCTGCCGACGATATACGGTGCAGCGTTCTCGCTAGTCCCGCTGCACATCGCGAACATCGTCGTCGCGCTGCTTTGTGCGAACCATGTGACGGCGCGGTTTGGGAAGGGGATCATGCCGCGACGGTATAGATTGCACGCGGGCGATGTTGCGAGTATCGGCGCGGACTGGGCAGGCGGTCAAGACCGCGGTGTGTTGAGCACGGGGGTGTCTGGTGTACCGCAGGCTGCTCGCGCTACTGCGACTGGTTTGGGGCTGTTTAGAGAGGATAGGCAGGACTCGAGGAGGCGGGTGTCGATTGGGATTCGACGTTAAGGCATACGGTGCAGTTCAGGATGTCCAGTTACTCTTTGTTCTGAAAATGATAACCCTAACCATCGTAGAGGCATCATGAAGCGATGAAGCAGGACCGAAAAAGAGCAAGGGGCATCTCCATCGCGGGAGGAGGCAACCGTGAGCGCGGGGGCGGGGAGAAAGAGGGCTGTGCGTAAACAGCCTCAGTCTCCTCTTCGCCTTGAGATGACTTGCGCGTCAAAATGCTCGCCGCGATTTGTGCCTGCTGAAATGTGGGCTCGTCGGGTTCTATGTTCATGAAGGGCACCCTCGGAAGGGAGAAAAAAGGAGAATGGAGAGGGAAACAATTCTAGGACTGGAGGAGGGAGCGTTGAATAGGCTGAAGTCATGGTGTCTGTCTGATCGGGGACTCGCTAAGGGCATCTGGGGGCTCTGGAGCGTCTGTCCAGCTCTGTACAGACGCTTCCCAGTTTGCTGATGTTTGATCGTGGCGGGCGGCACCTGAGGCCACATTGACCATAGGCAAAACCACCCCATCACTCTTTTGCCCGATCCATTTGCGCATTTACGATAGCATTTTTCCTGGTCCCGTCAAGGAATAGGTCTTCCTTCGCGTGACGAATAAGTTATCCGCACATGACGGAATCAATACACAGTTCATCGCGACACTAGACTTTGTAAGTTATTCAAAAGGAAATGAATGCTTACACTTATATCGGCGACGAAGTCTACGCGGGCAATCAGTGCCAGTTCAGTGCCTTGCCATCAAAATCAAAATTGTCGGATCGACACACCTGATTGAACCGTGCCGAAATGTCAGTTCGTATCTCCCGTCGCGTCTCTTCGTCATCTCGCCACAACTGATGCTTCTGGTGGCGAGAGAACCCCCGTCTTTGAATTCGTTCACCATCGGCGTCCTCTCCATCTATCCCCATATCAAGGTCACTGTTAACGCTGCCCGTCTCGTTGTATAGCCCGGTAATGATTTTGTTGTGAGTAATTTCAGGGACGCCTTCGGTCTTAGCGTCGATGTCTTCTTCTATTTCCGTCTCTGCTGGGTCTGTTTCACAATTCTTGAAACGCTCTTCATCATCGTCGCTGTCTTCACTGATCATCTCGCTCTCTTCGATTGAATTTTCGACCTCGACCTCGACTTCGACTTCGATTCCATCTCCATCTCCATCTCCATCTACGACCCCGGCACCCATATCGAGCCCTTCTTCTTCTTCTTCGTCCTCTTCATCAGTGCCTTCATCAGTGCTGGATCCCGTTCTATCGTGGTCAGCTCCATCAGAGCCTGAGGCCCCGTCCGGAAATAACTCTCTGAGATGTAAGTTTGATATACCAGCCGATGTCACAACTGAGACAGGCCACGCAACCCCTTCCCATTGTGTCGTCATGTTGTATGCGTGCCTCTGGAGCGTCGACAGAGCCAATGCAGCTCTGACGTTGTTCAGGACCGGAGATTGTTGTACTGACAGGGGCGTACGCCGTGCCAGACCGACCATTGGTATATAATCGACCACACAGGAGAGGTAGGCAAGCGACTGCGTGGATGACGTAGATGATGAAGATGTGTTGACATATGGAATGTGAGCGACGATCACAAGACCGTCGGCATCATACAATATCCCGAATAGCATGAACCACGGAGGTAGCGGAGAGCCCAGCTTCCCCTTATTCTTTAAGTACCAATTGACCAGATGTGCGACCAGATTCGGTTGTATGAGCTGGGACAAGTCATGTAACTTTTGATCCAATGATACTTGTGGGGTCGAAGGGGATATGACAGACGGAAGTGTGGGCCATTGAGAAGGTCCTTTCATTCCGATGAGCAGCGCAGGCTGAATGATGCTTGCCCTGGCAGCTTTGGAGTTGATGGAAAACGGAAACATAGGATCCATCAGAAGTCCGAAAGCCTCGACTGGTCGCGCATTAGCTCCCGAAAGTATGGGAGGAAAGTCCGACTCAAGCTTACTGAAAAAGATCAGTCAGACGGTGTTGCACCAATGAAATGACAGCACTCACGGCATCAACGTACAACCTGGTGTCGACAGAAAAAAGCTGGAGACGACAAATGTGGCGGTATCTTCATCGCCTGGATATGCAACAGTTTCGAGGAAGAAGTGTAGAGAATAGTATGAGTTGATAGACAATGGGTTGTCGGATCCAGATCGCAACACGGCTGTGCGCGGAGCACGGAGCAGGAAATCGGGAGCAAATGAGTCAAAGTTGTCGTGACGTTGGATGAGTTCGTCTTCTATAAGATATTTGAGGAGATTCTCGATAGGACGCATCAAAGTCATCAACGCGGATGAACTCGTCAACTCTTGCATATGCCACGGATTCGGCGGTCTCTTGAGCTAAGTAAAGATGTTGAAAAGCCTGATCCAACTATTCATGGTGCGGCGTACTTTCCACTCCAAAGGTATGCCGAGGGACCGAGGCTCAGAAGAGCTCCAATGGCGCTTGAAGTTACTAATGAATTCAAGTTGAGGTGTGCACTCTTTCATGATCCCCGAACCGATGTTGTTGAGGTCTTTAAAGTAGCTCCAGCTTCTGTGAACGCAATACTCGCGTCAGTGGGTACAAGCCCAAGTCGATATGCGACGAAACCCGTTTACGACGATGTCTCTGAATGAGCACTAAGCTCACCCACGCCAATGGTCTGACAAACCTCTGCCAAGCTGAGCTGGGTTGATTCCTTTGGGTCATTGAATATTCCATAGGGATTGCACATTTCGGAGGGTAGTTACTTGTCGTAGATGAACAGGTTCCCCGAAGCTCCTGTGAAGGTTTCCCCGTCAAAATACCCCTAAACAGATTATAAAAATGCTAATGTTTTCCCGATTTTGCCTGTGAAACATGCTAAAACCGGGAAGAGTAGTCACGTTTTGTCACGTTTTGTCACGGCTATTTCGAGACAGTGTAAACTACCCTACGGCACTGATTTCTTCTCGCAAACAACAAAGAATGAGTATATGAGATACATGAGGTACATTCTAAGGCTCTGTAATCTGACCACTAGGAGCCGCAGGTGTTGGCATGGTCAGAAGAACCTTCTTCACCTTTGAATAAGTAAGAGCTCTCCATCTTGACCCTGCTATTAGTATTAAATGCATTAAGTCTCACTGCCATCCAATTACAGGGTCTTGCACAATTTTCTAGAGTGTCATGCCAGAAAACAACTGGGTTCCTGAGCCAATACCTGCCTAACTGGGCACTACAGGTCCGAATGATTGGCAAAGCCCTATCATGCCCTCAGGCCTACTAGGGCTAATGCTCCTAGTACATTGTGTGCTTACCTCTTTGTAGTACTTCATCCTACCATGGCTCTACCTATTCCTCTACTACTATTTCTAGGACATTCACTTAGATAGAAATCACAATCAATCAAATCTCAAAGATAGTGGCAAAGCATAATCATCAGGTGAGTTACATACATCTGGAAAACCACCAGCTTGTATCAACTCTGGATTATATCTAATAGTGTCTAAAATTATCTAAAAGTGTTAATAGCATCTAAAAGTATCTAATTTCCTAATTGGGAGAAACATATTGTGAGCATTAGATTGGTTTCTAATTTCATGATATATTTGGATAGTCTGATGAGATTTGGCCAGTCTAACGAGATCTGGTCAGTCTGGCTAGTCTTAGCAGGATTAACATTGCCATAACAGATTCCTTCTAACTAAGCAGTTGATTAAGGATCAAGATACCTTGAAATTCTTTATAATTCTATGGCATATATGCTATCATAATAATACATAAAGCCCTATGTCTGTTGTTGCAGAACAATAGGTGTGAAAATAAAGTCTCAGCCCCTAGGCAGTGCATGCTAGCTATATTCTCACTGGGCACTTCATGGTGGATCTGGATTGTGAACAGCTGCTTGTGGCCTGAAAAATTCTCAGATAAGAGCCATTACCAGATAGTGAATATAAAATTATGTGCACATAGCTCTAGTCAAATATAGAGTAAAAGTAAGGTAGGAAAGAGAAGCACACATCAAAAAAGGAGCCCATGAGCTTCTCAACATAGAACTTGTATTAAGGAATTTTTCTGCATATAGAACACGAGATAGGCAGTGCACAATTCTGCTCATCAAATCCTGGACCTGCTAACTCAGCTAGTCTAGGGGCTTCCCAACACATGTGAGCATGATGCACAAACACTCAATACCCTTCATGTTGCACAACATCTTACCTGACCCACTTGTGGCTCTGAAGCATGCCCACAGGCAATAACCTACCAAAGCACTATTAAGCCGGTTAGGCTTAGTCACGTGCACGTGATGCACTAAGAGGGGTTCCCTGGGCTAAAGCTGATTGTGATGGCCCAACGAATAAAGATGACGGCTCGTCTTTGGGCTTGTTCCAAGAAAGGCTGGTCTGTATTGATCTTCTCCTCGAAGAGTCGAAGGAGATGCTGATTGATCACATGGCGGTGTTCGTCTGGTACGAACAAGTCCTCTCCGATACAACAGATGACTTCAGAGGGATCCCAACGGATGACTCGATATGCGGCGAGTCCTTGATAGGTTGCAGGCGGTAGAGAATGATAAGAGCGATGAGACGAATCCAGTACGTTGTCAGACTGAGTATGTTTCTTTAGATCTGACAGAGATCGCGAAGCGTGAGCTGAAGGTAGCCAGACGCCGGGCGCAGTGCTGAGATCAAGATGTATACAAAGTGAACGAGCTGAGGCTTCTAAGAAGCTCAGCTCTCCTATATATAGTACATGGCTATTTAGGGCGGGACGGACATATGGTCCGTGCTTCTAAATGCTAAGTACTATCAACGATCGATGTATGTAAGCCGCAGTCATTGTTCGTACTCCGCGGCTCCTCGATGTAACCATATATAGTGTTATGATCACGTTCTGTCGGGCCTTAACGGCGGTCTATTCCGACACGATCATCACAAATATCAAGCGGCCTCACTAGGAGAGGCGTACAAACAAGGTACAGATAGTAACCTTGGTCATCCACTCCCAACGGATCACCTTATCGTTGGTCGAGTATCACGGGCCTATTGCGTAGCGGGCATGGAACGCCGCCTTACAAACTACTCACACATCGGGCATTGAGCTCCTAGTCGTTCCTGGCCGGAAGGAGACTAACGGAGAGGCACAAGAGTAGTCGTACTGAGAGAGACGACTTAGAGAAATACCTACGGATACATATACGGTATTCTCACGCCCTATTTCCTAAAGTAGTATAAAAGGCCCATAGAGTAGGCTGAGGTTCTTCAGTCTATTCTCTTCGTTCGTTGTGGTCTTCCTACCACAACACCCTCATCCACTGTAGTCTTCCTACTACAGCCTTCATTGCTATATCGCAATACATCTTTGGCTCCTGTGCTACACGTACAGTCGAGACCACCGTTCCACACATCCTCCACAAGCGACCTAGGGAAGAACCTCCTACTCTTGGGGTTACCGACGAGCAGTCGTAACACTAGAATAGACTCTTCTGCCCCTACCTTGCTCGCACTAGCTTGCTGCCACACTCTCTCTCATAACCTTGCTCAGTGGGGATATAGACCCCCATCGAGAAAGTGTTACTGCACACACTCTGGAGCAAGACCTAGGCCAGGAATATCCACCCGGCACTAGACGTATCAATAACCAACTCCGTCACAACAATCGCCCTATCCGGCGCGAAGGGGACTTCTGGGTCTACGAAGACAACAACAGATACGCCCCTCCAAATTACGATAACTGCTCATACCAAAACGGGCATTATTACTTCACCCTTGAAGACGGAACAGAAGAAGAGGATATTTGGAACGAAACAGAAGCTCAGTGGGAACTAGCCCCACAATACAGGGAACCGGCGCCGGTAATCCCCGAAGACTCGGAGCAAGAGGAAACAACCTCAGAATCAGACTCCGACTCACCAGACCAAACACCGATCAACACCCGAAACGAACCGCTCGCCAACATGTCGGGACAAGCTTCAACTTCTACAGACCCCCCTTCCGCGACAGTACAACCCGGAAGAGGAAAAGTCAAACTCCCAGACAACTACACAGGCAACCGCATTGAATCCCAGAAATTCATGCTCCAATGCCTCCTTCTTTTCGCAGCAGAATCCGATCGGTACAAGACCAATCAAGACAAGATATCCCTGGTGCTCTCATGCATGAGATATGGCACGGCAGGAGCTTGGGCCGAGAACTTCCTCCTCAAATCAGTAGGAGCGGACCCTCCCACTGATCTAGGAACCTGGAGGGACTTTTTAACAAAGTTCAAGCTCCAATTTAGGGAGACAGGCAAGACCAATAAAGCGCGAAGCGCACTCATGGCCTTCTCCCAAGGACGAATGACGGTTGATGAATATTCCAACCAATTCATCCTCATTGCCGCCAATGCCGACATCTCCGACAAGGAGCAAGTCCCTTACTTCCAACGCGGGTTAGACCCGCGTGTCATGGACAAAATATATGACAAAGAAGTACAACCAAAGGACACCATTCAGGACTGGATTAACACAGCCTGCGAAATAGACGGACGACTCAGAGCCAGATCCGCTCAAAAGGCCATCCTCACCAACTCCACCTCCTTTCGCAGCGATTATCTGAATCGTTTTCATACCCAACCAACCGTCTGTTATAACTCCACAACTGCCCCTCGCAGAATGAACAACCAGGTGGTCGACATGGACATTGACGCTACCAGAAAGCGTAACGCCAAAAGTCAAAAGAGGAAATTTGACGGCAAGCGAACCACCTCCTGTGCTAACTGCGGAAAGCCAGGGCACTCTAGTGCTAATTGTTGGTCACCACGTAGAGGCGTTCGCCCAGTTCGAGGAAACTCGAAGAGACGCCTGGGTACGACAGGGAGAGGAAACCGCGCGGTTGATTTGGAAAGAGAAGACGACGCACCCGCTATGGGAAACCAAGCGGGAATACATCGAGGAGTGGAGACAGAGGAGTTTCCTCGCAACGACCAGCGGGTACCACAACCTGGTCCTTCGATGGAACGTCCTTACTCTGCCCCGTCCGGACGACCCCAAACGAACCATGGGCAACGCGCTATGTTACCTAACGGACGACGGGGAGACGGAAGCGTCAGTCATTCTGCTCGAATCGGAGCAGTGCTCGGAGAACTAGGGGAAGATGAAGCAAGAGAAGTGATCTTGGGACACGCGGAGCGTTTTTCCTGACCTCTCCCTCACCAGTGAAGGAGAGAGGTCAAGGACGACCCGAGTTTGATGCCCGCACTTGTATTCGTATCGGAGCAATGAACGACCGTATCATCACTCCCATACGCCTGAACGTGAAAGTATCAAACAGGAGTCAATACGCTGGAGCAAAGGCAACCATCGACTCGGCATGCGAGGGGGTTATAGTAAATGAAACTTGGGTCAGGAGACATCGCTTTCCCACCTACACACTCAACAACCCCATTCGCGTCCGGAACGTCAATGACACCATTAATAAAGCAGGTCTCATCCGATCAGCCTTGGATGTGAACCTCACCATTCGGGACATCAGGGGACGAACGCATACTGAGCGCGTCCAGATGTTTATCTCCAATCTAGGGAAAGACGACCTTATCCTAGGAACAGATTGGCTGAAATACCACGATCCCTCCATCGAGTGGAGGCGACGTGAAGTGCACTTTGATCGGTGCCCCCAGAAATGCCAGCAACCACATGGGTTCACTAGGGCAAGGGAAGAACCGCAAAACAATAGGCGGTTATCAGACGTGGAGCCACGGCACAAACCACGCATT